CGGTAGGGGGGTGCAGAACATGTCCGCTTTTCATGTGTTTACATGTTAGCTGTTGTTCCATGTGGGTTTTTCTTCTGTCAGTATATACCAAGGTACTTCCATTGGTCTCTCTGAAAAACTCTGTTTCTTGACATTTCTGATTGTAAGATAATTTGTTAAGGATGACTTCATGAGGGAATGAGGGAAGTGAGTTTTTAAAGGCCACAAAAAAGCAATAGGTTCTTAAGTCTGACGTTCTTTTTTTTTGTCCGATTCTTTAATTTAATAATTGTATTCAGGATGCAAAGACATTTTCCACAAAATAAATCTGAAAATAAAAGGCCTATCCTTGTTTTAAAGGCTTTATATGTGATTTTTTGATCCAGCAGATGTCGCCCTTGAGCACCAGCATGAAACCAAAACAACTCGCGGTGCATTGTTGTGTTAGCATGCTAATGCTAGCGATCTTTATTCTGCTGGTATCTTCACACTGCATGTAAATTTACCTGAAATGAGCGTGATCTAGAAACACAGTTAAGCAGTGAGTACAGTATGTTATTCTTCTTTTCTCTAGTCCCTCAATTAAACAACTTCTATACACGAGGGGAGGAGTCAGCCGGCCGTCCGGGCGATGTAAACAAAGTGAAGATAGGACTCTGAAAACTCTGAAAACATCACAGACAGTGGGACTCGGGTGTTACACCCATTGTAGACAGTCATGACTCACAGAGTTATTTTCAGAGGAGATACTTGATTTCTACATTTAAGGGTGAAAAATCACATAGAAAGCCTGGAAAAATGATACTAGGCCTCTTTAATAGACAGGATGACATTATAAGAAGGAGTTTCTTTTTTTTCTTTTTTTTTTGCAGTGCGCCCCAAAGTCCCCGTGTTAATGGACATAGCGTCATGCTCTCTGCCTTTTTTTTTACGATTTGCCTCCACAGGAGGGTAGAGGAGAAAAGGCCGGCTATTGACCTGCCCAAGCTTCTTGGTGACCAAACTGAAAGCACATGTGGCTTTCTTTTCTCCCCCTGTGACAGTTTAATTGTATTTTCGATATAAATTGATCAAAGGGCCATTGTGAATGCACGTTGGGCTGCCACATTGATTTCCGGGAGAGGTCCACCCCCCCACCCCCTCCCTCTCTTAATTTGAGTAGAAGGGCAGCAGTAAATTCTCCTCACCGGCAAGGTGGGCAACTGGGAGGGACGGGGTCGCTGCAGCGGGGCGCTGGAGTTCGATACTCTTGCGCTGACTTGTAATATCCTTCAGGGGGGCTGAGGAGGTACTCTTCAGAACCACAAGATCTCTCTGTTTCCATAGAAATGAGTGCAGACACGGCGTATGTCACACTGTCTATCTCGCATCTCAGACCGAGAAGGAGAGAGGACTCGACGGTTATTAACTGAATTGTCGAGCCGGCAGCGAGATAGGCAGCTTGATAGACAATCATAGAAAAAGGGACATTGCAGCTCTAACAGCGGGAGAAAGATAATAATGTTGAAGTGGATTGTTTTCAGCCAACTCTGAGTCTCTGTTTGGAAGCACGTTCTGTAAAGCAGAGCGGCAAACAAAACACGATTCTGCAGGATATTCTCTTGGCTTGGTTAGACAGAGAGAGAGAATGTGAAAAAAAAAAAATAAACAAGTTTTGTTTGGGCCAGAATTCAAGTGGGTTAATGAAACAGTGCTCACTCCATAGATCCTAATCCGAAAGAAGCTAGAAATTCTGCAAACACACTCTCGGCTGCCCGGGTTAGATAGACATAGAAAAGGAATGAAAACAGTTTTTTTTTTTGTTGTTTTTTTACCCGGCATTCAAGCAGGCGAACAAAATAGTGTTAAAGATGCTAATCCACAAAGCTGCTCGTCTCGCATGTGCCAGCTTTGCCCTGATAAAACAGCATGAATTAGTAAAGCTTTCCCGAGCACCTGGGATGAAAAGCTTTTTAATATATGATGAGAAGGGAGACTTTGCAAGTGTGCTCCCACGTGACCCCGGCTGCAACACACAATATCCCCCCCTCAGTCTGTCCACCGAGCGCAGCCAAGAACGCTCGCAGACACAACAACAAGATCGCGCTCAGAGGAAAAATATGCATCAAAAATCAAACGCACCAGCTCCCTTGAGTTAATGAGGTGTCAATAAGAGAGTTCAGAATGATGTTCTATCGCTCATTTATGATGGCAGTCATTCAGATGGCGTTTTCCTCCGGTGCCCTTCCTTTTGCCTTTTTACCTCCCGTGCAATTATTACTATGTCCTTGGTTATTAAAGGGGGGGAAAAGGGGAAGTCGGCAGGCAAGCAGTGGGAGGGGGAAAAACGACTGTACAAGCTTTTGATGAGTTCTCTGAGATAAATATGTTGGGGGGGGCGGGGGGATTTGGTGGTGGAATTAAAATGTCAGCGCATGCTAAGCTGCTGTTCATGCAGAAAAAAAAAAATTAAACAGGAGATAGAGAGAGGGAGCGAGCAAGTATTAATGAGACGCCACGCAGACGAGTGGACTCTCGTGGTCCTCGTGGCATGTTGGTCATGTTGCTGATCCATCAGGGATTGGCAGGCGGGCGGGCGTGCACATCGCACTCATGCTGGTACTTCACAAGACTTGGACCCCCCACTGGCGTTCTGTTTTACAGCGCCGTGAAAAATGCCACCGTGCACGGCCCTGCGGTGTTACAGGCACGGAGACAACATGTATGTTACAAAATCAGCAAAAGCCACAATTTAAAAGCCTCTAGAAATTTGGCTTGAAACGGGAAAATGCACAAGCTGGAAACGCTGAGATTTATTAATCATCCAGAAAAATCAGAGAGAAACAAACATCGATCATGACTGTTTGAAAAGCTACTTCATAACACCTATTTTCCTGTTTAGACCGTTTTTCCTCCCCTAAGACGACAGCATGTAGGTGTGGGAAATCACCTTTTGATTGGCATTTTCCTGGCTCCTCAAACAAATATTTTGCATGTAGCAGTAACAGTCATTGAACTGCACAACTTTATATATCAGACTCAGAAAGAAGTGCAGAAGACGTCTGATAATATTCATTTCTATTATTTTTAGGTACATGGACTGATCCTGGTTATTAATTATTATATACAAAATGTTAGCAGAGATGCAAATTCACTAACTTAGCAAACACTTTGCATTCTGTATTATAGTAAGCAGTAAGCATTACCAGCAGCGTTACCTTTGACTCCCTTATATTTTCAAAAAGCTACGTTTGCTATGCTAAATGTTGCCTCTTAGTGCTTTCACACTCAGAACTCCTGAAAGATCCTGATATTTGCAGAAGGAGCTGTTTGTGTGAACAAAAACAGACAGAAAATGCACTCAAACTTCCTCCAGAGTTTCTCCTGACCTTCCCTAGTATGTTTTCCTGCAGTCCGACTGAGCTGATGTGTGAGTGCAGCAGGATGTAATCAGGAGATTTAGCCTTGATCGAGCTGGAGGGGGGCGGTGACATTAATATGCTGTTTTGAGACTGGTACGATCTCCGTGCTGCGTTATCCTGTATGTTTTTCTTCTCTCTATTGTTGATATTGTGATCTGCTGCACTACACATACCATTGATATAAAGGCAAATATTCTCATTGTAACGTCATATAGGGGACTGCATTTCTTCGTCAACCAATTCAACACCTATTAAACGGCCTATTAAAGCAAGTTCAAGATATACAGTGCAATTGGGATGCAGTCAACATTTTTCTTTTTTTCCCCAGAAACATTCAAAAACCCAGTATCACTTCTCCCTATCAACACCATTTTTAACATCATGTCTTTCCTCAGGAGACCCCCCCTCCCATCCGACACTGCATCTCTTGAAGTGTCGGATATCTCTCACTGTGAGGTGCATGTGTGAACAACCAGATCAGAAAGATTTCAAGACAGTCGTCCTGAAATTTTCTAGACATTTTAAGGAGTGCATAATGTGAATACGGTTGAAGCTACTTCTTCATTTTCACCCCCTCCAGCGGTGCTCAGTAACTGTCTCTTAAAACAGATTGCAAACATGCCGGATTATACTCCAACAACTAAACAAAAAAAAGGCAAATGCAGACACTCAAAATGTATGGCTATAAATAATAATCTGCAAACGCTGCTAGAACTGGATTCAAACAGCTAAATAGCTGCAATTTCTTTTGATAGGTGTCAAATTAAATGTTTGCATGTTTACAATGCCCAATTCAAACCAAACGGTAGGAAAACTAACTTAAATTTAAATAATAACAATTGGATTGACAATCTTTGATGATACTTTTTGAATGCTCTCTTTTTAAGGACATGAAACCCTCAATTAGATCAGAGAGGAAGGCTGCCGTGGAGATGTGCTTCACAGTGGCTTTTTAAATCGCGTCGGATGTGCGTTTCCTTCTTGGCAAGATGTGAGTTTCACAGAGAGGAGGTGAAGCCACCGTGATGACAGTTTACTAAAGATGATATGAATCTGTTAAATAACAGCAAACGCACTTATCAAAGCTGTCAAGTGTTTCGCTGCCAAGGCCCCAGATTTGGTCAGATCGCTGATGTGTGAGCCGTGTATATATCAGCGATACCGAAGTGGAAAACTGTGTATCTGCTTTGAAACTTGATTCTTTCTGACATCTCTAGTTCAAAGTGCTCCTCTCTGAGATGTTTTTCCAGCTCTGAACTTCTCAGACATCACCTGTCAGTCAAACGTTGCAGCCAACACTGTGATGTGTCTTTTTCTCCTTCATGTAGATAATATTTCTGGCTATTTCTGCTCATGGTGACTTGGAGCGTTTCCCCCCCTTGCAAAGAGCTAGCTGAGGCCGCATGTGTTCACAAGAGAAAATTAAGCAAATGTGAAAGCTTTCATGAAGCCGAGATGTAATCACTGTTGTGCTATAACAATTAGCAGCAGAGAGCCGCAGAGTGGAAATGTATTAAAATGAAAGTGCCACAAACTGTTGCTTGAAGTCCATGTTTTTTTTTGTTGCCGCGGGGATCCTCATTAGCGTCTTTTTTTCCCCCTTTCTGTTTTAATGCACAGCTCCACTCGGATTCCGACCGCGGGGACGGCAGCGTGCGCTACGTCCTCACGGGGGAGGGGGCGGGGACCCTCTTCAAGATAGACGAGAAGTCCGGAGACATCCACGCCACCAAGAGGCTGGACCGGGAGGAGAAGGCCTACTACATCCTCCGCGCCAAAGCCGTCAACCGCTTCACCAGCGAGGGGCTGGAGGGCGACTCCGAGTTCATCATCAAGATCCACGACATCAACGACAACGAACCGCGATTCACCAAGGACCCGTACTACGCCAGGGTCCCCGAAATGTCTGATATCGGTGAGTACATGCCATAAATGTTTGAGGTACTCAAACACAGCTTTACTTAATTGAAAGCTGATTTGATTTGAGTGAATAGATTTTTGACTTCGACTTAAGAAGCGGTTTGATGATCTAAATAACCCAAAATCAAAGTTTCACTTACTTTGTTGGATGCATGGCATCATGTGGTCTTCAACAGCAGGAACTCCATCCAGGGTGAAAGTGAGATGTGGGTTAAAGCTCTGAAAAATGTGTTTTTAAATTTGATTAAATGACGTCACACATGTCCATTTAGAGGTCAGATCTTTAAACCATTGTGTAAAGACATCGTCATCTTTACAATCCGTTTGATGTGTTGAGATACTTGTATTTAAAAATCCATCAATCAATCTTTATTTGTATCGTGCCACTTCATAACAAAAGGTTTCCTCAAGACATTTAAAAAAAGATCAGATCTAATCATACTCATTAAACCACCGTGAGCAAAGCACTCTGATGAAACTCTGTCTGGCCAGCTGTCAAAACGTTTGGACCGCTAAGAAAAATGTGTCTTCTGTTGATCACTGATTTTAAAGATAAAGATAAACTTTATTGATCCTCCATTGGGGAGAAATATATTTGTTACAACAGCTCAAAAACAGTATAATTAGTAAAAATAGCAAAAAGTTAAAAAACAAACATATTTACATGAATAAAGCAAGAAATTACAAAAGAGATAAAATAATACTATACTATAAACACTTTCACTTGTGAAAAGACAGAAGACAGTTCTTATTATTAAAAACACACACAGTGTCTTCTCTTTGACCCAAACATTCAACAACAACAACATTGTTAACATCTATAAAAGACTGAGATTGTTTTAGCTTCTACTTCTGGTTTGAACATGTTAACATCGGATCCTCACCTGTGTTTCCAGTTCTTCTTCAGTGGTTTTCATTTTTCTACATTTTGTCCTCGTTTTTGGCCGTTCTGGTTCCTTAAACACTTTGCCTTACTTATATTCATGTAAAATATCAACCTCTAAAACCAAGATCCATATCTACTTTTATTATTATTATAAATCTAGGTTTATATCTTTTATCTGATTTCATGTACAGTTTCTCTGTCTTGTCTAGCAGGCAAGCAACAATGAGGTTTACACTTTTTGAAAACAAACTTTTACTGGAAGTCACTTTTCCAAATATTGTGAACAAACTTTGATTAAACTGCAAATTTAGATTTGTAAAATTGTTGCTCCAAATTGTGCACACATCCAGACTGGATGCATACAGTACAGGGTACAGGAAGAAGAAATGTAAAAAGGTAAACAGTCTGCACACTGTTCAGCTCCCCATGGGGATGTCGATGAACAAGCTCTTCCTCAGGCCTCGTGAACTTGTTAGCAATTTTTAAGCATGGATAAATGATGACATATGCTGTTACCCTATCCCCCCATGACAAGGCCCCTATAAGCCTCCTCCCCTCCCCCAGCCCTGAGATCATTCAGGGAAATCAACGAGTTTTAAAGAAATACAAGAAATTAAAACGATTAATTATAGATAAACTAATTAAAGAATCAATGAAAAGGTCCACTGATAATAGTTTACTGACCATGTGTGGCAGGAATTTAGTGTGTTGAAACATATTGATTGATCGCAACTCAGACAATAATTAAGTGTTCTCACCAATTAGGGTGCTCATGTGTGTGTGCGGATTTAACAGGCTTATGATTCAAACAGGATAGAGATGTTGCCCGTCTTACCGGATCAATGGGGACTTTCTCAATCATAAGAACGACGCAAAAAGACTCGACAAAGAGGCCCCCCTCGCTAATTAAATAAGAGCGACTGAGCTGTTTCATGACCGAGAATAAACAAGGTAACGCGTGTGTGTGTGACGGCGACAAACCCCGGTGCAGATAATCTTTTAAATACAGTATTGCATCTTATTAAAAACAGTCTTTAATTTAATTACCGGCATTGTCAGCCGTGTCATCCCTGTGAGTAATTCCCGCTGCAGCGCCCGGTTTCTGAGACGACGACAAATTTTCTTTTTTAGTCGTTCAAATTAAACTTTGTTCCAGCTCCTGGTCTAAAAAAGTACAGACTGGCCTCATGAATAAAGATAAACAACATTAAAAAAAAAAAAAAAGGCTCCTAATCAATACTTGCATGAAAACACCGAGTGAACTCTCTGCTCTGCTGCTGCCGAGCTTCAGGGACTGAGGGACATCGCTCTCACAGCACGGACATGTGACAGAGTTGTCACTTGGTTCAGTAACCTCAAGAGGAGAGAGAGGCCGGGCACTTATCTAAGGGCAGCAGCATGGGTGCCCATGGCAACAACCGAGGTGTGATGTCACCGCTCGGCAGAGCATGTGTTCACGAGTGACTGCGTCGAGACACTGGCCCTTTAAGTGTGACACACACTTTGAGTTTTTATTACAGTCTCACGGCTCTCTGACATTCTTCTTCTTCTTCTCCTCTCGGACTTTTGGCTCCGACACCCCTCAACCCCCCCCCCACCCCTACACCCCCTGTCTTTGACAACTGAGCGATTACAGTCAGGGTAATTTAGTCCCTCTCTCTCTTTAAAACAAAAAAAAAGATTATTCCTGACTTGTTTTGTCAGAAAAAAAATTCTCTTCTCAAAAGCTTAAAGTCAGCGATGAGATGGCTGATGTGGATCAGTGATATTTCTCTAAAAGCCGCCGTGTCGGAAAAGCCTCTTTGAGTCTAATTCCCTAGTTAAAGGTATTACCGATCAAGGTTCGGTGAACTTACTCCCGGATCCTCCAGAACTGTCACTTTACACCAAATCAGACAGCCGTGGTCTTCTTCTCTCTTTGCCTTCTAGTCCCTTTACTTTTCTTTTTTCCTCCTCCTCATCCATACAAGACGACATGGATCCTAAAAGGAGGGACGCTCTGCACAGATCATAACAGATATGAAATTAGTGGAAGTTTCATGGGGTCGTTATCCCTTTGCATTGCACAATTCTATATTTATACCACTCTGCCATTAAATATTTCTACTCAATTAATTTTCTTCTGCCATGTAATGAGGCAACACTTGGCCCCGCAAGGCGCCATTTGGGAGGTAGCACTTGGCTAACCGTTTCCCTTTGTTCTCCTGAAATAGGGCTTCAGCTTCTTCTCTCTGGAAGAGAAAATGGATCACAGTCGTTTGCGCCTTGCGATCAGATATTTGGCTTCTCCAGATCTGCGGATACACTAATAGGCTTCTTGGGGTTTTTGCAAAGAGCGGCCTTTTGTATGCTTCGAGAGATACACTTAGAAAAAAAATACATTAGGACTTATCGATTAGCTGCGAAGATCAATCACGTGTAAGGGTGTAAGTGGCCGAGGAGTAAAGATTGGCTCGAGGTAATGCAAAGGGACAGAAATGATCGGTCACATTCTGCACGAGCGTGATTAGAAGAGGAGCCGACACCTCATCAGAAGGTGGATCAGCTTCACCAATTATCCAGCAGGGCTTCTTTTTTCTTTTTCTTTTTTTCCAGCAGTATTGAAGAGTTGATCTAAATCGTTGTCGTGAATCTTTTCTTCTCTCGCAGGCACTTCGGTAATTCAGGTGACGGCCACGGACGCCGACGACGCCACTTACGGGAACAGCGCCAGGGTGGTGTACAGCATCCTGGAGGGCCAGCCGTACTTCTCTGTGGACCCGGAGACCGGTCAGTGACGATTTGTAAATGCAAAAACAAAACAAAAATACCATCCAAAAAGTACGATCAGTGCAATCAGTATATTTCTGCTGGTGTTGCTCTGTGAAATCCAGTGTGGTTGTTTTTCATTCAAAAGTAGATGATGGGATGACAGGTTCACTGCAAAGAAAAGTATTCTAGTTCAAGTAATTCTGCCGATAATGGGGTCTTAAAAGAGGCATTCAAATGCAATAGGAATGTAGGAATGTTCCAACATGTTTCCCAAAATTTGTAACTTGAAGTATTTCAACTACAATATGTTAAAATAAGGTGAATAATTCTACTTTATTCATGAAGAATGGGACTTCACAGAGGAGCAGACTGCAAGAAATGTTACGTTTTGAGTCTTAAAACCTGAATTTATGTTAGAAGGAGTCGAAAAATCTGACAGTTCTAGTCAACTCTTCTGACCTTTTTCCCAACAACAAGAAACAGCTTTTCAGCATCATTTGTTTTATTTTGGAAGCAATGAGCAGCATCTTAATGTAACATACTTCTCACTTCATGTCTTTAGTGTTTGTCCTTCATAAAGAGAGAGAGGGAAAACTGCAAAATTCTGAGAAAGTATAATATCTCCTCACAAGTAAAAGCAGGCTTAGCAGAGCAGCGTGCACTTTGGCCACTAAAAGGAAGTTGCTTCCTGACTTAATGTGCACGGCTCCTCTCTCTCTCTCTCGCTCTCTCTCTCGCTCTCTCTCTCGCTCTCTCTCTCTCTCTCTCTCTCTCTCTCTCTCGCTCTCTCTCGTTTTTGGTAGAAAATCTTCTGTTCTCCTTCTTCTGCTTCTACCACTGAACTCTCCTCCTACAGGTGTAAGCCCTCTGCTGAATGTGAGTTTAACTACACCTTTTTGTCTTGAGGTGGCTGTTCTGGGAAAACATAACAAATCGCACAGCCGAGGCCCAAAACAGAGAGAGAGGCAAGCTGAGTTTTTTACGAGGGAGAAATAAATTAAAACAATTCATCACAAAATAACTCCCAGGAATGCTGTGACTGTAACCAAAAATACACCGGCACTATCCGCCTCCTCATGCAGGCAGACGGGGCTGGGGGGGGGGGGGGGGGGGGGGGGGGGGTGGATTTGTAGTGTAGAGTGAGTGGCAAATCACCAAACCCCGAAAAAAATCTAGCTGCTAGTTTTAATCATTAATGTGCGCTTTGGAACACATCCCACTCGTGTCTTAAACAAAAGGAGAATGACAAAAAAAAAGAAGCCATTTGCAGATTAGTGGAGGGATTAACAGTAATATGGTTTATCCTACACGGGGTATGTAAGCTGACATCCCCTCTTACACAAAGACATGCCTGGACATCACATTATAAGCAGGATTTGTTTCTCTCCTCCTCCTCTGTGAGCGTGTATTGTAGTCATTAAGCAATAACAAAAGTAGACAGCGACATGAAGCAGGTCTTCTTCTGCTATCACACCTGAACTGTGGCTGTTCTTCTTCTCCGCCTGATTTAAGTCCACACGACTTTAATAATCATCCTTTAATGGTTGAACGATGCACACAAAGAAGATTTCCACAAATATTCTCTACATCCTGTATGCTACCATAACTGAAAATAACCGCACACCACTGAACAGGAGGGTTTAAATATTATCCTGGGTGGCAGAGGGAGCATGTGTCACCTCACATGGTGTTGTCATGGTGTTTCACAGTGAGGTCGATGTTAAAACAATTCATGAAATATCAGCTATTTTTATCTGCTCGGGGAGGTAAGTGCTCTTTTAGTGTTGTACTGCTGTGTTCCAGGTTGTAAGTCGTCATCGTTTTACGGCTGCTTTCAGATTAATCAGCATGTAAAGTAAAATCCAAAGGGACTCTGGGCCATATTTTTGCCGACACAACATATTGGATATCGTTTTAGGTAATGTTAGGAAAAAACTTGTTGAATTTCAAACATATTTGGTGAATAAAAGTCTGAGTGACTTCGCCCAGTGGTTTCTTCAGGGGAATTGGAAGCCAGCTGATGGCGGGCCTTATGCCTCGTAATAGTTAAATCGCACCTGTGTACAGTGTGTGCCAAAGAAGACAATATCGAATCAGATCAAAACCTTTTTTTTTGTACCAGGCTGGAAACATGTTAATTTCTGCTGTAGAAAAAATGGCATTTTTGAATGGGGTGTGTATGTGACTTCTGGGCCTCTTGCAGCCAGCCTCAAGTGGACACTCGAGGAACTGCAGTTTTTTTCAACACCGGAGGTAACCACTCCATTCAACCCCTTCTCATCCTAAATGACCAATAGTTTCCAATGTAGCTTTACGTTTGGTTCCTGATACACTGACCTTGTGGCCTAGTGAGTTGTGATGAGTTGATGCAGGTATGTCTGTATTTTACTGCTCATGTGTGAGACCTGGCATGTTGTAGGATAAAAGTGCAATGTGGAAAACCCCACTCTGTCACCTCTATGATGCTAACAAGCTATCCCTAGCCTCTCCACCTACAACAGTACAACTTTCAAACAGTAGCATTAGCATTCCTCCTAGATAAAGTTGATTGAGTGAGTGAGTGAATGCTAATATCTGGTGCTAGTTAACATATTTAGTTATACCTTGAAAGGTGGCCAGATGTCCTTCTGAATCTTCACTAAATGTCCTTCTTGCTTGAAACATTTCAACTTTTTCTTGAAGTAAATAATGATTTATAATAACTTGTTTCTCTTGCCTGGCTCTAATCCTCTCCCGTACTACTGTGGTGTGAGCTTGGCATAACAAGAAGTTGCATTGTGCTTGCGTTTTTTGCTGTAAAATGTGTGTAAGGAAGAAAAAAAGCGAGTTTGAGGGTCTTTGAACAGCGCAGGGAGGGCAGCATGATCTGAGCCTGAGTGATGCGTGGCACGTCAGCCTCTCTTCCTTATTGTTTGAAATGCAGTGAATCATCTGTTCAGACTGAAAGAGATGAAGTTTGTCAAAGCGGTTTATTCAGGGTGAAATGTTTTTGTTTTTTTCCATCTCAATTCTCCCACTCTTTTTTTTTTTCTCGGTATCTCTTTTTCTCTCTCTTCCTTCCACCTTTTTTTTTTTTATGATGCTTCAAATTCAAACGTCAAATAGCAGACAGGATTTAAGACCGGCTCTGATGGGGAGATGGAGCTCACCTTTTTTGAATATGCTGCCAATTACTGCCTCCCTCTCTGAGTCTCTGTCCTGACTCCAAACTAGAGATCTGACGCGTCGGAGCGGTGAAGTAAGCAACCGCTCGGCACTTACAAAAGGCTGAACATTAACCGTCTTAATTCCAAAGAGGGGATAGATGCATTTCTGAGGTGAAAAAATTAAAGGGGAAACGCTGTGTTTTTTTTGGTTGATTGGCCCTTTGGTCCACTTAGCGGTTAAATCATGGGAACACAGACACCAGAATGTGCTCCTGGGTGGCCGCTGAGGCTCGGTGCCGCCGCGCATACTGAGCAAGAGCACTGACCTTTCAGTAATAAAATGTTCTTAGTGGTTTAATTATCCGGCCTGTAGATGCATAAATCTAAAAAAAAAAAGTGAAATATCATTAATTCAATACAGCTGATGCAGACGGGGCTTATTTTTAGGAATGTTTCGGGTGAGACTAGTGATCTTTAAGCAGTCCGCCTCTGGAAACACTTCATCGTGTTCATGTCACATACTGGGGTTGATTTTTATAAAGGTTGTAGGTTTATATAGTTAAAAAGGTGACTTACTTTTCAGAGTAAGAGTTTTATGCACTCTGTAACTGCACTTTTTTTGTTTCATAGTCTGCAGGATTTGGTCTTCATAAAAAGTCTAAAAAAATATGCAAAATCCTATTAGTATACCTTGTTTTGAAACCGTGGACTTTATTGAAGAAGTGAACAAAGCCACTGTGATCTAACTCTTTGGATTGTGTTGGTCGTGTTCGACATTTTGGCCACCGCCATCTGGGTTATTTTTGCTGCTTTTAAAAGCAACGCTCTTGACCCCGCAGCTGAGGGGTGAACAATGTCACCGGGTCCTCTTGTGTGTCGAGTGCACCTCAGAAAAAAAAGGCTTTTAGTTATAGAAAGTCAAGAGTAAAAAATGGACAAATAAGCCGCTGATGATGCTGCTGAGTGAGAGGGGAAAAAAAGAAACACAAGTGGTTGAACTTTTTAGACTTCATGCTGTGATTTCTTGGCAAGGTCAGATTAACATCTGGAGTTTAAACAAGTCTTTCATCTTTAAATTATTCTGGGATTGCAATTAATAATTATTTTCTTCCATCTTCCCTTTTCACTTCCAAAAAAGTCAAGGGGAAATTACAAGTATAGAATAGAACAGAATGACTTTATTAATCCCAAACTGGGAAATTGTGATGTTACATCAGCAGGTTATCAGAGCAAATAAAACAATACAAGAATAGATACATAAATAAGCACTTAAAATATATAAAATAAGAATAAGAAGAGGTTTAGACATCAAGGATTTAACTTAACATTCCTACTGGTTTAAAAAAAAGGTGTAAGTTTGCAAAAACAGTGACGACAGTGATGAGAATTGAGATGTTCTCCAGAGCTGTGCAAATCTGTGGCTATGCAATCAAAGATATATATGTTAAAGTGCAGGAGTGTAGATAAGTTATCAGTTGAAACTATTCACTATTCAAGTATAAACCATACTTAGAGTATGCACCAAAAGATTTATTGTTGTTTCTGACAACTAGTTCAGAACACAAACATTAGATATTAGCTTTGGTCTCATATAAAACAAAAACACTGAAATTATTTATTGAACTGTTAAAGCTACAACAAGCTTTTTAGTTTTTTCACATTAGTAAGTACACACAAGTATTTACAGATCAACTTTCTGAAGACCCTCTTAATGTGTCAGCTTTACCTTATATGGTTCTTTTCTCCTTACATCTAATTTAAATACCATCATTAAAATTGAAATTGCTATATGGCTGCATATTCTAAAACTCTATGAGAGATGTGTGGTTATAAACTAAACCCTTGACTTGATAGATGGAGGTTCTTAAAAAAAACATAACTCTGTTTTTTTTCCCCTCAGGCCTGATAAAGACGGCGCTGCCGGGCATGGATCGAGAAGTCAAAGAAAACTACCAGGTGGTCATCCAGGCCAAAGACATGGCCGGACAGATGGGAGGGCTCTCGGGAACCACTACGGTCAGCATCACCCTCTCTGACGTCAACGATAACCCGCCGCGCTTCACCAAGAGTGAGTACAGCAGCCTCCCAAAAACCCGCACACCCACACAAAGTGACCACCAAGACCACTTGTCAGCGCTAGCCTTTGCCAGGCAGGCAGGCGGGCAGGCAGGCGGGCAGGCAGGCAGGCGGACAGCCCCCATCTGGTGTCAGTTTCAAAATGAATTTGGATTATTGCAGAGCTCTGGGTTTCTGTGCGGGCTAAGGCGGGCCTCTTAAAGGCAGCGAATAATTAAATATAGAGCCATATGACGGAGCGAAGGGTCCAGCAAAGTGCATCAGATCAGCCCTGTAATCCCTATTAAATGAAGAGAGAACATTCAGTGGGCTTTATCTCCCCTACTGTTCCACTCTCTTTTGTCTATTAAGTCTTTCTTCTGCTGCCTTTTACTCCATAAAACCAATGTTCTCAATTTAGTGCTCCCACTGTCCTGGCTGCACTTTTCTTTTTTCCTTCCTCCCCCTCTTGCTCATCAATCATCAGTTCTTCCTTTTTACTCTCTCTTTTTGAGTCCCACACATTGTCTCCCTTTCTTCTCTCACCCGTCTCACTTCCTCTCGTGCATCTGGCAGACGACGGCGACCAGATGAGATTGACAGATTACTGGTGTCGTTTGTGTTTCCCCCTCAGTTACAGCGAGCGTACAGTACGCTCAGCAAACACGCCACCGCAGAACTCCTGACATCCTCCCCCCCCCTCTTCATTTATCACATCTTCCAGCATGGGGTGAGGGAGGGAGGGAGGGAGGGAGGGAGGGAGGGAGAGTGTCATCTGGACCTCCTCCGCCCAATGAATGAACAGCGAGAGGAGGACCGAGGGAGATGGATACGACGGGGATGCAGGAGGTGACAGGAGGGGGAGATACAGGCAGAAAGGGGAAAAGTGATGCGGGCGACAGGGAGACAGTCTTTGATGGAGGGAGAAAGGGGGGAGACAAACAGACAGAAGGGGGGGGAGGAAAGATTGAATGGGGGAGAAAGAGGAAGAGATATTGTAATGGGACACCCAGAGGAGGAAGAGTGTCAGGAAGCGATATCATTGTTGTCTGCTCGAGTGATGCCTCTTCTTTTCCACCCAATGCTAAATACCTGTTAGCCTAGGGAAGCCTCCTCGTGCTGCTTTCCCTGTGTGTGTGCGCGTGTGTGTGTGTGTGTGTGTGTGTGTGTGTGTGTGTGTGTGTGTGTGTGTGTGTGGAGGCAAGTGTCAGCGTCACGGAGACCTGCCGACTCAGGCGTTGCCAAAACACTGTCAGCATGTTTTATTAGTGTGTCAGTGCTGTTTGTCTCCGCAGGCTGTGTGTATATCACGCCCGCTCCCTCCCGCGGTCCGGCTATTTATTTAAGCATACGAGATGCAGCTGGGCCCGCCGCCGCCGCCGCCGACAGGCAGCCATCAATTTTGTCCGCCTCAAACCAGGAAATCATCTCACAAAATAATAAAAAAAAAAAAACCTAAAAGGAAGACGAGGAAGCAATTAATTTATGTTGAGCAAATTGGCCTCAGAATTTATGTTACATCCTTAAACTTGAGGAGTGAGGGAGTCGATAGCGCTTGTAGCAACTTTCACGCTAAAGGCCAAATGTCTGTTTTGGAAAATGAAATATGTTTCATGTGAAATGTGCTGCTCCACAGCTGATCTACAAATGTTGCAGCACTAAATCTCCCACTCGCCTTCTCCTGCTGTTCACTCTCTCTCTCTCTCTCTCTCTCTCTCTCTCTCTCCCTCATGACTCTTTACACCGCTGCTCCCTGATTGGCCGCGACTCACTCTCCCTCCGACTTGCTCTCATGTGTGTTTTGCTCTCTGAGTCACCCGCTTGCACTCCTCTGTGTTTTCACTAACAGGGTCATGAAATATACCTAGGTTATGACGTTTGTTGGATGTCAGAGGTAGCTTTGAACTTGTCTATTTAAAGTCTTTATCTGTGATTTTTCACACTTAAATGTAGAAATCAAGTATCTCCTCTGAAAATAACTCTGTGAGTCATGACTGTCTACAATGGGTGTAACACCCGAGTCCCACTGTCTGTGATGTTTTCAGAGTCCTATCTTCACTTTGTTTACATCGCCAGGACGGCCGGCTGACTCCTCCCCTCGTGTATAAAAGTTGTTTAATTGAGGGACTAGAGAAAAGAAGAATAACATACTGTACTCACTGCTTAACTGTGTTTCTAGATCACGCTCATTTCAGGTAAATTTACATGCAGTGTGAAGATACGAGCATAATAAAGATCGCTAGCATTAGCATGCTAACACAACAATGCAGCGCGAGTTGTTTTGGTTTCATGCTGGTGCTCAAGGGCGACATCTGCTGCACATATGCACATATAAAGCCTTTAAGAGCTTTAAATGAGTTGCATCTTTGTGTGTAGTAAAAGCTGGAAATGGACTTGAAAAGATGTGACCTCTGTGGTCCTGCCTCACTCACACACTCTCCCAAACATTATTTTCTTCCTCTCTTACATCTCCACAACGCCGCTCCTCTCGACTCACTCTCACTTCCAAACCAATCACACAAACGAATTCAATTCTCTCTCCGCAGCCATGTACGAGTTCAGAGTGCCGGAGTCCATAGAGGTCGGGGCCACGGTGGGAGTGATCCGGGCCATGGACGCCGACATCGGGGAAAACGCAGAGATGGACTACAGAATCATCCGGAGCGACGGGCCCGGCATGTTTGACATCGGCGCCAACAGGAGCACGCAGGAGGGCGTCATCGTGCTGAGGAAGGTCAGGGACTCTCTGTTGGTGTTCGATGAGGGGCGTAATGGGAGCAAGAGTTTGTTCACTGGGGGAAAGAATGGGGACTAGCCTTCCTTCATAAGTCACATCATTTGTTTTCTGCTTTCTTGCATAAACTAAACAAACAACAGGATACTGTGAAGTCACATAATATTTCACAGTGGTATGGTAAGGCAGTCTGCTTTGGGGGGTCAAGAAAGGTGTTTCCTGCATGTTTTCAGTAAAGTCCACACATACAGTTTCTGTCTTTTAGCACCATCTGTTATCACTATGTGGAGTTTGGTATCCTGCTAGCTGACAGTACGCTATTTTAGCTCTCATGATAGTTTGGATGTACAGACTCCAAACCTGTGAGTCGCACTGCCCGCCCTCCGCTGGTAATACGCTGCCTTTAATCAAACCAGCACCCCATAAGTTCTATTTACTCAACAGAACACTGCCGTCTTCTTTTCAAATGCAGGATTTTTGAGCTCATGAGGGAGAACAGATGTTAAAAAAAAAAAAACAGTGGCGCCAACAGCCTGCTCCGCCCTCGCTAGATGTATCCCAGCACGTCTTGAGCGTTGAAGCGGACGCAAGTTTTCAAAGCGCATCAGGTCACATAACGTGTGATGGTGGAGGCTGCGCTTGCTGTAATGACGCAGCATGACTCAGCATTTTGGTAGCATGGGTGTAATAAAAAATATATATATATAAAAAGTGTGTCTTATACACCAGATTCTTTCAGTACTTTGAGTAACGGTTCCATCCATCCATTATCCATACTGCTCTTCCCATTTGGGTTTGCGGGGGCTGGAGTCAATCCTGGCTGTCATTGGGCAAGGGGCGGAGCCAATCCTGGCTGTCATTGGGCTGTTAGGGATGTTCGCCTTTCAATAACAGGGCTGACATATAGAGACAGACAACCAGTCACACTCACAGTCACACCTACGGGTCAATTCAGAGTCAGCACTTAACCTAACGAGCACGTCTCTGGACTCTGGAGGAAGCCGGAGAGAACCCACACACGGGGAGAACATGCAGACTCCACACAGAGAGGCTCCTGTCAGACCAAGAACTTCCTCTCTGTGATGCAACAGCACTAACCACCGCACCACAGAGCAGCCCCAAAAATATGAATTTCTCTAAAATGTCTCTATAATCTTATTAGTTTAATGATCAAGTGGAAAAACGGCTCCTCTGATGGAGGTCAGGTATCTGTTCAAAGCAGAGTGAGCGCATCTCTAAGATGAAATCTACAACCTACAACTCATATGCTCTCCTGTTTATTTTTTTTAGGTCTCAATAATAATGGCAAACCCAATAATAATTACACTTGGTTTAATGGTAATTTGCTGAAGACATAAGTTCAAGTTAAAAGTGGCATTTAAACAGTTAGTTGTTTTGGGTGCTTTTTTTTGGTGGGGGGGGGGTCTGTGTTTAGCAGGTTTATGGAAACACAGCTGTCTCTGTTTTAATGAATGTCGGCCAATAAAGAACTCTTTCAGTGTTGGACCACATCTGACTCATTTACAAGCAATGATATAGACTGACTTTAATAGTGTATTAAGCTAAATAAGCTTTGGATTGCATTCAAATACAGTATACTATAAGGTAGTTGTGCTTGCAGATTTGCACCTCATAGAGGACATGGCTTTAAAGGAGAGCTGCTTCTTGTGTCCTTTAGTTTAAGTTTGTTTCAGGGCTTTTTTTTGTCTGGTTATTTCCATTTATTCTGAACAGTGTTTTTAAAAAAAAAAAACTCTGATGTTGCATCTGAGCAGCACTCTCCTCATTTGGGGGTAATCAAAAGGAAGACTTACTCAATGAACTTGAAAAAGGCTTAAAAAGGGGGAAACTTTTTCATCTCCGTATGCTCTGAGAGGCAGAATGACGGACAGCGGAGTTATTAGATTTCAACTTCCCCCTGCCCACACTGTCAGGACATGTGTTTTGAACGAGCTTCATTCTTTCCCCTCTCAGCTGAGACCAAAGCAGAAATATTGATGCTGTGTGTATGGATCGCAGCGTTCAGCGGTGTGCGCTGCGGTGTGTTTCTGATGTATTCAACAGAATCTGCCAGTTGCCTTATCAAGCGGCCTCTTTGCTGCCTCCGATCGATCGCTTCCATCATGCCATCATTAAGTGGAAGATGACATAATTGCCTTTTGTAGCCGCGGCGGGGCTGCAGTGGATGGTGGTGAGCGGGCAGAGTGTGTGTGGGGAGTGAGCGTGCCCTAATTCTGAACCTTCTAATTAAATGGGCTTGTCAAGTGGGAGTGCCTCCCTTTTTTTTTTTGCTGCTCGTACGGCTCCTTCAAAGCAGCACATCCCCTCTTTCCTTAACAAGAAACAGGGAAAATCACTGACTCATATTGTGTTATTATTCATGGCTTCAGAAAAAAAACGCCTCATTCCATGTGGATTTTTCAAGCCTTCATTGGCTGTTTCCAAACGATCATGGACCCTGGCGTCCTTTTCATATGTACAGTAGGCAGCCTCGCTCTGATCCAGCTGCTCCTGCATTCATTAAAAAATCCAGCGCTCCCCAATTATTTCCATCAATACCTTCGGCGGCTGCAACTTCAAAAAAAGTTCAGAAAAAAGGGACATAAAAGGGAGAACATACCACCGACCTGCACTTGAATGCAGAACGGCGAGGGGAAAACTGCTGCAGTGGAGAGAGGAATCAGGCTACTAATCATGGTGAATGGAACATAAATGAATGGACGGATTATACATGAAAAATAACAAGTCGCTGCCTTTTAAACAAACAAATGTCTGGGGGGAAAAAAGCATGTATATACACATAAAAGGCTAGCATAAATAAATATTATATCCCTACATGTGTTTACCAGTAAAAGTAAAATCCGCAAAATGAGCCCCACTGTGGATAAAAACAAGGTGCCGTCTTTCTTTTTCCTTTAAGCACATTTTCACATTATGCCAAAAAACTATTATTCGTTCAACACTGAATATAATATAAATACACAAATAAAAGTAGAAGTGGTGTGACCTTCAGTCAGGAAGCAAGTCTTGATTTATTGAATTCTCCGTGTTTAAGTTCTTCATATCATCCTTATGAAATGATTCAAACGTAGAAATACGCACGTCCTTGATGCACCCTCACAAGTTAAATAGTAGATCTCTTTTTTTGTGATTAAAGTCGTATTTTCTCAAAGGCAAAAAAAAAAAGAAATACCACACTAGGGTCTTAAAAAATTCAAACCACAGGACTTCCTCTGCTGCTTATATGCTAATCTGCTGTACTGATCTCTGCATTTAAGAAGGGGAGGAAAAAAACAGTAAAGCAAAATGAACAGATGTCACCCAGCAAACATCCAGAGACGACTTTGATTGATGCTTTCGCAGAGTGTGGCGGGGAGGGGTGGGGGGGTGGGGGGGTGGGGGGGGATCAGGAAATCAAGTGAGGCGAGCTCAAAACATCCAAGAAGTTGTTTCTGCAGAAAGAAAACAGACACAAAGAGAAAAGAATATGTGCATTGTAACATTCGACAATGACTGTTCATGCTCAAAAAATGCAGGAACAAGAAAAGTAAAACACTGACACATATTTGGTTTGTCTTACTGTCTTGTATATGGAACAAAGGAATATGTTTTTCAAATCAGATGAAGAACCCAAAAGTGATGTTTTCCTACTTTAACCCTTAGAGCGCTGCAACAGAATGGGCCACATTAGCATTTTTACTAATCATGATGTCATTACTTCCAATTCTTTATAACCCTAAAATCTGAACCACTTCAGCGAAGGGGCTATGCAAGTCAAATGAGTGTAACGTGGTCATGTTCCAACACGACCACGTTGAGCCGTTTAAATTGTAAAGGCATTTGAGCTTGTAAAGCACTTTTCTAGTCTTCTGACCACTCAAAGCGCTCGTTACACCGCATGTCACACCTACACATTCACACCCTGATGGCAGAGGCTGCTTTGTGGTGAGACCATCAGAAGTTACTAATCCCATTCACACACATTCATTCATACACCGCCGGTGAAGCAGCGGGAGCAACTTGGGGTTAAGTGTCTTGCCCAAGGACACATCAGACATGTTGCTGCAGGAGCCGGGGATCGAACCCTCGACCTATCAAGGTTGACGATGACTTTACCGAGCCACAGCCGCCCAAATGCTGCATCAGTCCTATTTTTCAGGCCTTCACTTGTCCGAAAGAAACACACAGACCTGATTTGGTTTTGGCAGCAGACATGTCCATCATTGTTGTTGTTGATGTTTTTGAAGGTCACTTCAACACTGAGGACCTTCACACGTGCTCATTAGAAGATGCTATAAAAAAAGTTTGTCACTTTAATGAATAAAAATCCCAATCTGGCCTGAAATTAAAAGTGGTGGGATGCTCTGAATGGATATTAGTTTTTCCCAAAGTCGAAAGCTGACCATGTTGCTGCATACAAATGAACGCGTTAAAGTACAAATTAAAGGACAAGAGATGTGATCACCGCGGAAAAACAAAAAGTCTCAAAGGAATTTTCTTTAGAAATCAGGATAATGAAGGAACAGGTGAAGTCACATCTCCACTCACACACCTTCTTTCTGTGTTTTTTTTCTCAGCCTCTGGACTTCGAGAAGAAGCGTCAGTACAGTCTGAGCGTCCAGGTGGAAAACGTCCACATCAACCCTCGCTTCTTCTCCGTGGGGCCCTTCAGGGACGAGGCCACCATCAAGATCGTGGTGGAGGACGTGGACGAGCCGCCCGTGTTCGAGAGAGCCAGCTACGTCATGGAGGTGAAAGAGGACGCGGCGAGGAACACCATCATCGGCTCCGTCAGCGCCGCGGATCCCGACGACAAAAACAGTCTCGTCAGGTATGGAGCCAAGTCACAAAATAAAAAAAAATAAAAAACTTACAGGAAGATCTTTGGATGCATCCTCCTGATTCTGTTTATCTCTATTACACATTTGGTTAAAGGAAATACTGTCAGTCGTGTTACAGCTTTTTCAGGAGTCCGTTTCCTTTGGGAGCTCTCGTCTCAAAAGTGAAAGCTTGAGCCGATGATCATAAAAGAGTGAGCCCGATAATACAGAGTCAGATGCTGATGACAGCACCGCACACCTTCACTTTAAATGTTTCATCTCTTGGATTAAAATATTGATTTTGTTAATTAAATCCTCTTCACTTTTTTAGGATGACATTATTATTCTTTGGTTATTCAGCTTGATTGCAGACCCTAATGTTCAAACATTAGGGTCTGCAGTCAAGCTGAATTCAGTTCATTTCATTAGGTCAGACTTTGGGTTCAGAGCAAAAGCAGAACGTAACATTGAAGAAGAAAAGACAAACAAACACACAATTTAGCATAAAAAACATTGTGTTAACATGAATGCAAACCATAACCAAACTTAAGTGATATTGGAAAAAACTGAAATGCGATTTATATTATAATATAAAAAAATACAGAAAGATGTGGCAAATAAATGAAATAAGTTTATATTGGCTTTAATATGCCCGATTACCTTTTAAATCATAACTTCATTATTTTGGACTTTTTGTCTTTTTTTTATAATCTTAAGTTAACAATATGTGCAGAAACAATATGAAACAGAGGGTAGCTGATAGCTGGCACTAGCATGAGCACATGGCTGTAATACACAGGCCTCCATCCAATGATCATAATGTACTCATGCAGAGTAAGAAAGCGTTGCCTGTTTACATAAAATAAGTCTTTATCCACGTGTATACAACTGGACGTACTCTTTTCTCATACTTTTGAAGAAGTTCCAAAACAACATCGATTTTGTAAACGGAGTGATGCTAAATAATAAGTGTCTGGTTGGTAAATGTTTGATACAAGTTTTACTTATTTTGAGGCTTTAATAATGGACTAAATATCTGGTGTACTGTCTCTTTAAATCACCCGCAAAAAAACAAAAATCATAACGCTACAGGAGAATTTTAGGTCCTCCATTTTTGAAGCTAAAACACAATTAGGTTGATAAGTAGTAGAAGAACTAGACAATGTTTGTGGTTTGTAGTCTTAAGAATAATAAAATTATGAACATTATTTGATGGTCACGTTCTTTACCTCGTGTTTTAGCAGTTAGTTAGCCACTAGTTAGCGATTCTGCCGATTCATGAATACTAAAAATAATAAGAAAATATGTGATCCAAGATTTTATAGGAGTCTTTTTTTTAAATATGATTTCACATTTTAAAGAAGATTTCTTTGGGTAATAAAATGCAACGATGTCTCTAAATGTTCTGCTCACACCACTTGTAGGACTTTCTTTCTTTCTATACTCAAGAAAAATGTAAAAAAAGTTGAATCGATAAATATTGAACATAAAAACTCCAAAGTGGATCTTCGTCCTTCAATTTAAGTCTTCAAAAAAACATAAACACAGCATTAAAAATATGGAATGAGGTCCGGGTGGAGCGCCACGTCGTCCTGTAAGGCATGCTAAACACCTCACAGCACTAAAAATGTGACTAAAGTTCAACTTGGTTCATGAAGACACCAAAATTATGCACGTCTTCTATTAAATGGAGGTAATGGCGGCGGGGGTGTGAGGCTGCACCTTCCACTCTGTCTCAAAGTCTTTTTCATTTTTATGATGCACTAAGGGAGTTGGCTCTCAAGGTTGAAGTTCCACCACTTTATTGCAGGTGTCAAATATGATATCATTCTCTTTTATCGCCCATCATCAAGGAGGTAGCTACCCCGTGGCATTTAAAGCCGCGCGCTGCAGCAGCATCAAGAGGAGGAGGAAAAGTGGGAAGCCTGGAGGGCTGGCTGGCATGAGAGAGAGAGTCACAGAGACGGTTATCTTTATTAGCTCACACCGCTCTGCACAAATCCGTCTGCACGTTTAAGGCATGGATGTGTCCAGAAATACTCGGTGAACATGAGTGTGTGCAAACATGAGCACACAGTGTCAGCGGTGTATGACATGTGGGATCATAAAGTCGTGTTTCTCCATCAGACGTCAGCTACCTGTCAATGTCACAGGAGACTCAGGAGGGATGTCAAAACCTCCTCTAAAACCTAATCCATATTCAAGGTGTAGTAAAAGACTATTTTTACATTAGCCTGAAAGCCATCACGCACTGTCCATCTTTAAAAAGCTGCCAACTCTTAAAGAATTTTTATTGGTCCTGGTTTTAATGAAGCGTTTAAGTGCTGCGTTAGTGTAAGTGCTGTTTCCAGTCACACCAAGGACAGACTTTGAGAAAAAACATTGGAAACTTTTTCATAGTTTTTCTTGACAATAAAAACAATTTAGAGGTCAAAATATCGATTCATAAAAGCCACGACTGGTTCTGTAATGAAACAGTTCAACATCTCTTCTTCACTAAAGCGACCGCTCAGTGTGACTTTGTAATCATGACAACATGAGGATATTTTTGTGACACATTCATAGAAATCGGGGTTACGTTCAAAAGCTCAACTTGACCTTAATCTGAAGGTCATTTATTTAAACGACCCAATACCCACGCAAAAAAGTGATAAATTGCTTTAAAAAAAATGTTTTCAGGATATGCCTACACACTTTTTTTTTTTTTTAACCAAAAGACCTTCTAGGTTATATTTGCCTCAAGTCTTGCCCCCCCCCCCCGATGTCCCAGGTGGCCCTCTAGAGGGGCCCAGACCCCCAGGTTGTGAACCAATGCCCTGTAGCATACCCTGCTTTACAGTCATTTTTTAATCTAGTGACTGTGACCATAAATTCACAAGGAAAATGCTTAATGAGGTAATAAATAAAGAGGAAAGTGGCCTCCTCTTCTCATTGACCTCTACACAGTCAGATGTTTGCCCTCTAACAGTCTGCATCGGCTAGTTCTTCAATCGATCCTTATAAAAAGTCTATGATAGCAGTAAAAGGTCCTGTCATATAAATAACTATTTAGAGAAGCTTCTGAACTCATCTTGTGGGGAAGATTGTAAGATTGAAACGATTATATTTATCTTAAACTTTCAAAAGAACTTCCAAACATAGGCCAGTCTAAACCTCTTAAAACCTGAAAACTCATTAATCCTGAAACTGGACTCTTGTTCTATACATTTTCTCCTTCTATAAACACCCTGGCGTGCTTGCGGCTCGTGTAGCTTCTGCAGGAAGGAAAGAGGATATATGTCCCAACCCGCTGATCACTAACATTTCTGTAACCCTCCGCCGTCCTTCTCTGCACGGCCTCCCCGTCCTGCCAGCTGCCTGCCTGCTGAGTGCAGCACTTTGGATGCCCGGTCAGGACGAGGTAGCGCTGTTATCTCGTCGCCATTAATCAGGGGGAAGGGGTGAGGCCCAGCCGGCTGAATTATTGGGAATATTAGAAAAGCAATTAGTAAAGCCCACGACCGACGCGGATTTAACGAGGTTAGAGTTACTGTCGGGGGGCCGGCGAGGAGAGGGGAGGGTTGGGGGGGGGGCGAGAGGCAGAGACGAGGAGGGAGTGTTTAGATAAAGACACTAAAATGGTTGATGCAGGGAGCAGGAGGGAGGGGCCGGATGGAGGTGGTGGGGGGGGGGATATCAGAGAAAAGAGGAGAGAGCATGTGCGGCGGTGCATTGAAAGCCCCGGTTCATAGTCTTCCCCTCGGGGGTCTCCTCCTCTCTAACGCCAGCCCTCCTGATGCCTGCTACTCCATTAATCACACTGATGCATCACAGGAGTCTGGGAGGCAGAGAAAAACAACACCACTGGATAACCTGTTGGCTCATGTGTGTGTGTGTATATTTGTTTGTGTGTGTTTGTGTAGCGCCACAAACACTTACATAAATCTGTCAACACCACAGGACAGACTATTCAGCACTGTTAGCACCCCCCCCCCCCCCCGAACGCCGTATACCACACACGTTAAAGGGTCACTTCACCCAAATCACAACTAATAGACGTCACTGTAGGTGAGTCCAGTCGTGCTGGTCGTTTTTGCTTTTATTGCACATGTGTTTGAGTTCCCAGATAAACTTAGATACATTTGATTATTTGCACCAAAAGATAATAATCAGCTTATCAGATTATAATAGAATAAAATAGAATTACTTTATTGATCCCAAACTGGGAAATTGTGGCAGCAGCAGGTTGTCCAAACACACAATATTAGCAAAAAAACACAATATTAGCAAATTTAAACACAATATAATATTAAATACAAAGTAAATAAGCACTAAAAATATCAAAACTAAGAATGGGAATATATACAACCAGGATTTAACTAAACATTACTAGTCTTAAAAATTTACCATTTTACACTGGAACCCCAATAATCTCCAAAACAGTGTTGGTCAAATGTATTTGTTTGTTGAGAAAAATGGGTGAAACCAATCTGAGGAAGAGAATATGATTACCTTACAATGTAACCGAGTATAATTTAACAGCACATACAGAAACAACACTTTTAGTAGCAGTTTACGTTTCCTTGGAAACAATAAATATGTCGTGTCTGTCAAGTGTTTTCCATCTGATCACAGAAGCCTACAGAAAATGAAATGTGTTATATAGTTCTGTGTGAAAGCGAATTCAAATCATCAACCAGCTGGAGAAAATAACCTGTGTTGCTTTTTTTTTTTTTTTCAAAGGGTGTTGTCCAAACAGTTGGGTAGCTTTTGATTGGATGTTGGATAACTACCATTAGTAAAACAATGTTTCTGGGAAAGGTCACTTTAGGGTTTTTTTTTGTGTGTGTTTCTGTGGCTGCAGATGTTTCAGGGATGAATGTGTTAAAACGTGGTCACCCACACCTGAACTTACAGATACCACACAACAACAACAAAATGTTCATTGGTTTTTGAAAAGCAAGCTTTTTAAAATAAGTCTGAAACTGTTAAGGTTACTCATATTTACTCCTGTATTAGTGCAGGTATAAACAGGTTTTTTTTATTTCTTTAACAAATTGGACCTTTTTCTTCTCAGGGTAAAACCTTTTCCCTTTTGATTGATGCTTCAATTCATGTTTTTCTTAATTCAATTTTGTGTGGTATGAAAAGCAAAGAAAGGACATAATAGCGGAGTGCAGACACGTCCGTCATGTTTAGTCAGACTTGTTTTGACTACCTCCAACCTCTCAAACCACACACTGTGTCACCAGTAAATGTTCAAATTCTCACTCTGGTTTCCACCTGAGAAACTCTCTACAAAGTGACTGTAACCCTGCCCCCCCACTCCCTCCCCCGCCCAACCTGGGAGACACAACACTCCTCCACACAGCCTCACTGAACACGTTTTGAAGCCTGCACCCCTGTGTGTGTGTGTGTGTGTGTGTTTTGTGTTTTTGTGCAGGTACACGATTGATCGGCGCACAGACATGGACCGAGTGTTCAACGTCCATGCAGGCAACGGGTCAGTGTTCATCCTCCGGGATCTGGACAGAGAAGAGAACCCCTGGCACAACATCTCCGTCATAGCCACAGAGTTCAGTAAGTCCAAACCAGGACGGATAGCGAACACTCGTGCTCTCTCCATTCTGTCGGCCAAATTGGATTTTTTTTTTTTTTTGTGTTGAAAACAAACTCTGAATGTTTTGTGTTGAAGATAGAAAACAGAGCTGTGAGGGCAGAAGAACAGTCACTGGCAGCTTTACTGATGCCCAATCTGATGCAGAGGCTAAATAGCACTTTATTCACACCTATAATAAAAGCCTGGTAAAAAAAAAAACTGCAGGATGTTGTCTGATGATATTTTGATGTTAAACCTCAAATTGAGTTGAGGGAGATGTGTTTACTGTTTTGTTTGGTGCAAAAGTAACATCAGCCACTTTTATTAGTCACCTCTGTCTGGAATAATAGTCATTTAAACATCACTTCCTACACATTCATATTGAAAGCATTTATAATAAGGACAGGGTTATGCTGGGAAACTGAACAAGAGGTATGGAGTTGAATCTTCAGAATGTTTGATGTCAGGTTAAGATCATGAACTTTAATTCCTCATCTTTCCTTTGTAGGCCTTTATTGTAACATCTTCAAGAAGTCATGATTATGATCGAGAGTAGCATGACATCACTGGAGGAAAAAAGAGACAGCAAATCAGCAAAACAAACAAAATATGTCGGTCGTAAAGCGCCTGTGAGACATAACATTAAAGGTCACATATTACATTCATTTTCAACGTATTTAAAGAAGTCTCCACAAAACATGTCCACTCAGATTCTGTATTTCATCATGCCTCTCTGGAAGGTTCTTGGGTGGCTTCGGCTGTCTTGCACCACGCCCTGTTGTTTACGATGAGAAGGCGTGTAACCCATTTTGGGGGGAGGGGTTACTGCCCTTTTGTGATGTCACAAAGGGAAAATCTCCAAACAGGCTGTTCGAGCACACATTTTAAACCCCTCTATTTCAGCCCTGCTCAGAACAGGCTGTTTCTGTGTCTGTAGCTTTAAATATGTAAATGAGCTGTGTCTGACCACGCCCCCCTCTCTGGAAGGGCTTTGGTGGCTTGGGCTTTCTTGCTAAATGCCTATTGTTTACATTGTGAAGGCAGACTCAGAGGTTCAGAACAAACACCTAGCTGTGGGAGTGTCACCCACCTGGGGGAGGGGCTACTGCCCTTTGTGATGTCATGAAGGGAAAATCTCCAAACAGGCTGTTTGAGCACACATTTTCTGAAAAGTGGAGCAGGGAAAAGATGGAGAGGATGGACTTTTCTGATAACTGGGGGGGGGGGTGTAACTTACTGTGGACACATATTAGTGTTAACCATGGTGAAGTGTTTTCTGCATAGTGTGTGACATCTACATGATCTGACAAAGCAAACAAGGCCTTCAGAGGCGAGCTTTAAATGCTAATGCTGATAAGAGAGAAAACAAGATTGATGGATATTAGAGGTCTCAAGTTGTCTTGCTGAAATCAGTGCTGTAGATGTTTTCCACTTTATTTTATACTGAATGTATCGTGTTTGTCGTTTCTGTAAAGGTTAAATTCATTGTGTGCACCTCTGTGTCTCCTAGATAACCCGCGACAGATCAGCCGCGTGCCCGTGTACGTCAGAGTGCTGGACGTCAACGACAACGCTCCAACGTTTGCCACCAATTACGAGACGTTTGTGTGTGAGAACGCTAAAGCTAATCAGGTAGGTAACGGGGAGCCATAGTCAAGGTTTCATCTTGACTGTGATAACACGTGTTCGCTCACAGATCAGCGCTCAATTAGAAGGACTCGGAGCGATGTTGTGAATTATTTAAAAGGCGTTGAGACGAGGAAGAACGACGTTTTTAGTGGGCTGACTATTACACCTGGTAGTGGTTATCAGGGGGCGAGAGAGAGAGAGAGAGAGAGCTAGAGAAAGAGAGAGAGAGAGAGAGAGAGAGAGAGAGAGAGAGAGAGAGAGAGAGAGAGAGAGAGAGAGAGAGAGAGAGAGAGAGAGAGAGAGAGAGAGAGAGAGACAGAGAGAGAGAGAGAGAGAGACAGAGAGAGAGAGAGAGAGAGAGAGAGAGACAGAGAGAGAGAGAGAGAGAGACAGAGAGAGGGAGACAGAGAGAGACAGAGAGAGAGAGAGAGAGAGAGAGAGAGAGAGAGACAGAGAGAGAGAGAGAGAGAGAGAGACACAGAGAGAGAGAGAGAGACAGAGAGACAGAGAGAGAGAGACAGAGACACAGAGAGAGAGAGAGACAGAGAGACAGAGAGAGAGAGAGAAAGAGAGAGAGAGAGAGAGAGACACAGAGAGAGAGAGAGACAGAGAGACAGAGAGACAGAGAGAGAGACAGAGAGAGAGAGAGACAGAGAGAGAGGGGCTGTCATGCGGGTAAGCAGCCACAGGTAGCATTCAAATCCCTGGATTGCCCGCTTGGAGGCCCAGCCTCCGTACATGGGGCTTGTGCACTAACCACTAGGCCTCATGTACGGCCTGCTTTTTTTTAAACTTCTTTTTTTTCTTCAAACACATGACAATCTTAAAAAGTGTCTTTTTATAGTTCAACAGCTGCCATTTCTCCAACGTTGAAAACCCGAAAAAAGCTGCTAAAAGAAATAAACAGTAACACAAGTCCTCAGTTTCACATATTCTGAGTTCACACTGAGGTCCAAAACAAATATTGCAGCCTTGACTTTATCAGAGCTTTCAGGAAGTGTGATGACCCCGCACACTGACTTCTTACAACTTGTACTTGATCATATTCAAACACAGACAAAAGTCTAGTTTGTCTGTCTAGCGTTGTCTGTAGGGGATATTAAACATCAGCCGCAGCAGCGATGTGACGGTTAAGAGGTACTTTAACTGATCCTGCATCCACGCTTTCATCTAAGTCAAAATACACGTTATTCCCTAATTAAAACACGGTTAATATGCAGAATGACCCATTTCAAAGTGAAAAATAAATAAATGACGATGTGAGAATGATGCAATTACATGGAATCATAACTGGAATTTTGCAGCTGAGAACCTAGGGCTAATTTGAACTACATTACGATGATTAGTTAATTATATGTAAATTAAAAACATGTTTTTTGTGTTCTTAAGTTTCTATTAATTATCTGAACCTGCTAAACAACTTGTATCCAAAGCTTTAAAGGTCACATATCCTCCTCCTTTTCAACAAGATTAAATGAGCCTCAGAGCTCCTCAAAACATGTGTGTGAAGTTTCTTGTTCTAAATCCACTCTGATCCTGTATTTGATCATGTCTATAAACCCCTCTATTTCAGCCCTGCTCAGAACAGGCTGTTTCTGTGTCTGTACCTTTAAATATGTGTCTGACCACGCCCCCCTCTCTGGAAGGGCTTGGGTGTCTCGGTGCTTTCTCGCTCCATGTCCTATTGTTTACGGTGAGAAGGCAGACTCAGAGAGCAGAACAAACACCTAGCTGTGGGAGTGTCACCCACCTGGGGGAGGGGCTACTGCTCTTTGTGATGTCATGAAGGGAAAATCACCAATCGGCCTGTTTGAGCACATAGTTTCTGAAAAGTGGAGCAGGTAAACAACAGAGAGGGTGGACTTTAATCATAACTGGGGGGTTTGTATACAGACTAGGGCATAATATGTGACCTTTAAAATACATTTTCTGGAGTATTAAGTGCATTTACCTCCTTAAAAGAGTAGAAAAAATGTAAAAAATGATCTTTAGAGGTGCATGAAATTAAAGTTGGTTCAGTTTAAGTGAAAGTAAACATCAGGGACGCTGGGCTTTACGACTTGTCAGCTTGTGATTAACTTTCTGTCTTGATGAATTCTCCAAACACCAAACTATCACTTTAAGCTGAATTAGCAGCTGATGTAACCCGTTAATATGCAAATCAGAGCCACTAACGAGCATTTGCTGTTGTTATCCTTGTTAATTAGATGGTTTACAACTAGGGCTAACCAACATGCAAACATGTTACGAGAGACTAGAGATGTGTTAACATACTGGGAACACGTGATCAAAATTAAACTGATGTAGCTTTTAATGTAAGGTTGCTGGTTTTATTAGATACTTCTTTGAATTTCCTTCAGGATCAATAAAGTATCTATCTATCTATCTATCTATCTATTAGGTCTGAGCAATGTTATAATCAAAGGAGCTCACCTGAATCTGCATTCTTATATATGGAGATATTTTGTCAGCTTAATCTCTGACATTGTGTTTCCAGATTGTTAACTCACCGGATAAGCAAAAAAAACAGCTTCATTAATTAAACATATAACATGATATATTTAAATGTCTTAAAATGATGTAGCATGGTAACATAAACACTGACAACGAGTTTTAAATGGATTTTATCAAATACTTTTGATGAAGGTGGTAGGCTGACATTTTCTCTAGCACCTCTTCTATTTTTATTTTTTTTGACAACCTCTAAAATATCTTTATGAAATGTGTTTTATTAAACCTGTAGTGTTTAATCTCTCCCATGTCGACAGAAAGGAAGTGAAGCGATCAGGAGTGAAAAATGTTTAAAAAAAGCAAGCCGTACTTCTCACAGTTATCGAAACATTTCCCTCCTAAGGAGGGTGTCTCGACTTTAAGGTCCTGCGAGGACTTTTTCGCCTGTTATGAAATGGACTGAAAATTCATTTTTTGATGCCTTTTTTTAAAACCTACATGTGTAGAAGCTGCCGTGACAGAAAGAGCACCCCCTACATTTCACATTCTATACAGTCACAATTTTGTTTTTTGGTCATAAATAAATATCTTATTGCTTTTGTGTCGTATTTTATTTTTTTATACATATTTTTATACATATTGTTTTTTAATTCTCATCGGTGTGCATTAGTCTCTCAATGATTTTATAAACTACTTTTTCGTCAATAACTTTCTGCACTCTTGTTAAGCACTTTGAACTGCAATTTAATTTGTCTGAAAGGTGCTATATAAATAAAGTTTGATTGATTGAAAAATACATTGAGAAGACCCAACATTGGGTGTCACTGTTCTTATTGGTGGTATCGATACCATTTGATTTTTTTTTACTAGAATCTTATCAAAGTTTAAAAATCTGTTATTTTGACGACTATAATTCTTATACAGTTGTCTGCTAGGATCTTATTTTGTCACTCACCTGTGTGTTTCTTGCTTCAGAGGATACAAACCATAAGCGCCACAGATCCCGACGAGCCTCTCGCTGGACACAGATTCTTCTTCAGTCTGGCTCAGGAGGCTGCTGGGAAGGCCAACTTCTCCGTCCGCGATAACAAAGGTGATACACTCTCAGGCGCTGCGTGCGGTCATCAGATTAACTTCTGATCTTCTGTCTAATGTTCCCATAAGGCACTTAAACCCGCTGCTACAGTTAAACACATCTACTGTTGTAAAAGCACATGATGGGATGTTTTCTTCTTGCAGCACTGAAAGCACATTCAGAGGTCAAAATCTGATTGAAACTGTTCATTCAGGTTATCGATTGCCGCGCGGTAACGGGATATGCGTTTTGTTTTCAGACAACACGGCCTGGATCCTCACACGCAGGAACAGCTACAACAGTCTGCAGAAGAGCGTCTACCACGTGCCGGTGGTCATTTCCGACGGAGACTTCCCCATGCAGAGCAGCACCAGCACGCTGACCATCCGGGTGTGCACGTGCGACCGCGAGGGAAACATGAAGCTGTGCAACGCCGAGGCCTTCACGGCGAGGGCGGGACTCAGCACGGGGGCCCTGGTGGCCATTTTGCTGTGTGTCATCATTCTGCTCAGTGAGTACAGGCCCCGTGCATGAGGAGAATGTGAAAAACGCAGCCGCGGCTCAATCATAAATATTTGTTTTTTTCCAACATGATCTATATTTAACCCGATGGCTTCACTGGAAATTAGATTTCTTAAAGCGACACACTCGAGCGCTCCGTTTCTGTTTATTGCACGTCGACTCTCACAGGTGTTAAAGAGACAGTTTCGTATTTCAGCGTTTAATTTGATTCATCGTTTCCCGTGGGCAGATAATTCTTGCCGGTGACCACGGCTGACGTGTTAATTTGATTTGAGCAGCAAAGCATCTCATCTAGAAGAGAGGAAGATTGTGCTTTTATCTGAGCCAGTGTTTGTTCTCTATAGGATGAAAATGTCAGGCTTGATGCAGCTGCACCAGCTCAGAGAACATTTAAACTCCCTGTCCTCTTACAGTACAGATGTTTTTTAGTGGTTGACGAATCGTCTCCAGAAACTAACAGAACAGTCTTTTTTTTTTCTGTCTTCAGTGTGAACCTGAGGACTCAAATGTACAGAGCTCATAACTCAGGGCCAAGGAATTTATATTTTAAGAGGGGACTGATTTAATTTCTAAAGGGCTGGACATTTTCATCTCCTGAATAAAAAGGAATTAAAGTTAGTGATGTGTTAATACGGCACATTTCTTAATCTTAGAGGAGAAGCTTAAATAGCCTGGGTTGGAAGATTTTGGTCGAATATTAATTCCTGAGCTCAACAGCAGACATACATGCAGAACAGGATAAATAATTTACTGATAACATGAAGTAAACATAACATAGTAAAACATATTCTTAGACCATATAGTTTCTAGTTAAGTCTAAGATTTGACATATAGTTTCTAAGGCCTGCATGATATGAGAAAAACAAGTGATGTGGGATTACATTGTTCAATATTGCCATAAAAGAAGAGTGCACATTATAGGTTCAGTTCTGACAGAACATCTGTCCCTTCCAAATCCCCCCAAAAAGTTTTTTTCTCCACAAAAGTGGCACCAATTAATCCAAGGTTAGCTGGTAGTTAGCTTTAGCGTCATCCTGCTGCATCAAAATGGTGTGAAAGCATGGCCTTCCTACAAAGGCAGCATGTAAAATACACACATGCTGAGTGAGAAAGCATTGCCTGACAACATCAAAAGTGTTTTTATTTATTGGGTTAATTTCAGACTTCAGTGCTATAAAGGTGAAATCGATAAAATCCCAATAAATTGTGAAGTCGTATGTCTAATGCATTTCTAAATTAGGCTCCAGTTACTGTTTTTTTTTTTACTACCTTTCTTTGTAGCATGCAGGAAAGCTTTTGCAACTGGATTCAGTTGGCTTACTTCACATCAGCGCTAACCCAACGTTAGCATCACTCACATGATGCTACATAATGTACACAAGTAGCATCTCGAGCACACAATGCTCTCCGCTGCTCTTAAACTCTTACACCACATTCCTTTGTGATCTTAAGCAGCAGTGGCCCTGAGGAGAGAGTAAAATACATAATGCATCCTCGTGGTAGCCCAGCCTGTTCTACAAAGTCAGACAAAGTCCCTGAACATCAGTGAACACTCACGCAACATCGACTATTCCCCCTGGACGCTCGCTGGCCTTCAGAAACAAGGAGAGCAAAAAGAAACAACAGCAAAAGTCACCCAACTTTGTTTTTCCTTCTCTCCTCCCTGTAGTGATCGTGGTGCTGTTCGCCGCCCTGAGGAGACAGAGGAAGAAGGAGCCTCTGATCATCTCCAAAGAGGACGTCAGAGACAATGTCGTCAGCTACAACGATGAAGGGGGCGGCGAGGAGGACACTCAGGCCTTTGATATCGGCACGCTGCGCAACCCGGAGGCCATCGAGGAGAGCAAGCAGAGGAGGGACATCGTGCCCGAGACCTTCTACCCTCCGGTGCGGCGTCCCGTCCTCCCGCCGATCAGGGACAATAACGGCGACGTGAGAGACTTCATCAACCAGCGGCTGCAGGACAACGACACCGACCCGACGGCGCCGCCTTACGACTCCCTCGCCACCTACGCCTACGAGGGGAACGGCTCGGTGGCGGAGTCGCTCAGCTCGCTGGAGTCCGTGACGACCGAGGGCGATCAGGACTACAACTACCTGAGCGAGTGGGGGCCGCGGTTTAAGAAACTGGCGGACATGTACGGGGGCGACGACAGCGACAGGGATTCCTAACGAGGGGCCTGACACACGGACGAGGGGAAGAGAGAAATTTGAAATGTTGACAAACATTCCGGGGGCCACTTTAGGCCTCAATCAAGCGTGGCGAGGAAAAATGGCGACAAGGACCTAGAAACGAGCCCCCGTGCTCTTTCACCGCCATCGATCACCATTCACAGTCGTCCCTCCGAGGTGACCAGACGTAGGCTTTGTGTGTCCAGTCAGTGTTAGTTGCGTTTTTTGCAAGGGTGCAGTAAAAAAAACAAAAAAAAAACACTTTGTGTGGAGACATTTTTTGTGTGTATATGGGTGTACATGACGCCCAAATATATCTAAATCAACATTTTCTTTTCTTTTTTTTTCCAAAGCTGCGTGCGATGGGACACTTTCAACAAGCAGTTTTGTAAAAACCAACAGATATGCCTATGTATTTTTCAGTGTTTCTGGGACAAAAACATGCTGCATATTGTGAGTTCTATCTTAGCTTGTGTACCTATGGTAATATGAAACATTACGCTGTACAGTTGTTTTTTTTGTTTTTTTGGAAGGGATTTCTATCATCCGAATGATGCCCCTTCTTTCAGCGACTGGCTGCCTCTCATTAGCCATAGATGTGCTCCGGCCAGAAGTGCTCAACAATTCAATAAAACAATCTTGATTGGATGGTAGAGGTATACATCACCATAGCTGGGTTTCTACCCCAGGAACTTTCCCTTAGATACTTGGAACCTTTCAAGGTGTTCCCATTGCAGAGAATATCTGACTTCAGTTCTAGGGACTTTATTTTTCCCCCTAAAAAGTTCCTGCTTTGGGATAGTACTTCCAAAAGTACAATAATTTTTGGGGGGGGGGCCTTATGTGCAAACTCATTTCTGTTTTTTTTTTAGATTTAAAATTCAGCTTGGGATACACAGTAGATGCAAAGTTTCGCCCAAATGGCGTCTGAAAGGTTTTCATACACCAATGGGATCATTTGCGTAATCATTGTCGAGGAACCTTTTTGTTCCTGTAAAAGTAGTTCCTGGTACTCAAAGTTGCCAGTGGAAATGCGTCCTTAGTTGTTGTACATTACTGGTGACAAGCGGGACTTTATTTTTCCCCCTAAAAAGTTCCTGCTTTGGGATAGTACTTCCAAAAGTACAATAATGTGGGGGGTGGGGCCTTATGTGCAAACTCATTTCTGGTTTGTTGAGCATTAGCAGTTCAATTCAGCTTGGGGAAACACAGTAGATGCAAAGTCTTGCCCAAATGGCGTCTGAAAGGTTTTCATACACCAATGGGATCATTTGCGTAATCATTGTCGAGGAACCTTTTTGTTCTTGTAAAAGTAGTTCCTGGTACTCAAAGTTGCCAGTGGAAATGCGTCCTTAGTTGTTGCACATTACTGGTGACAAGTGACTAACGTACATTAAAGTGTTGGTGAAGGAATGTGGATTTTTACAGCCACAACAAAAACACCTTTTTTTGTCATTTGTTCAGCAAACTGAATTTTCATCTCCACACAGCTTTGAGCAGTCGCTGTGAGGGTGAGCCAAAATACCAAATATTTCTTTATTGCGCTGAATGTCTTCAGAATCATTTTCTCTGTGCAGCAAACACTTTGGGTTGAGAAATGAACCTCACAGGACAGTGTTATTTCCTCCCGACATTGATAAAAATCACCAATCGTAAGTGCAAGCCGACTCAGTTAGAGGAAAACACAGATCCTGCTGGGATTTTTTATCTCGTCTCAAACAACAGAAATGTGTAAATGTGTTCGCTCTGTTCAGTCGGTGTGATTCACAGTCACGTGACCTCTTGCTACATGAAAGATGCAAAACGTTTGAAAGTATGGTATGGAATCAGATTTCATGAACAGTTTTCATTAAAATCCATCTTGCAATTCTGATTTTTCTAACCCTAAATGTTTTTGGTTTGTGTGTTCAGGGGATTAGGAAACTTTCTGAGGAAAGTTGAGGGACTCATTGGAGAAAATCACATGTTTGAAATTGGACTCTGTCCTTTTAGAAAGTGTGATTACTTTCAATTCCTGTCAATGAAGACATGAATTTGTTTTTGGGGTCTTACAAAGAGATACCATAGGATGTGATGAGACGCAACACAACGCGTCACACTTTACAGTGTGATATGATACAATACAGTTTATTGTCCCCTTGGAGGCTATTTGTGTCGGACTCCAGTGCAGCACATTTTGAGCTTCCTCTAGAGAGAACCCAACACAGATAATCAAACAAACTATAAAGAAATAAATGAAGACCTTACCTAAAGCTAGGCCTGCAACTCATGCCTATTCTATTTACTCATTTAATACACATTTAATTCTAAACTGTATCAGTTTATAGCTTAGTCTGTCAAATGTCAAAGAGTTGTGAAGGATGCTCATTGCAATTTATTTTAGATCCAGAGCTGCCGTCTTCAAATTGTTCCTTTGTCAAACCAACGGGTTAAAACCTTAAAAAGACTATTCATTAAAATCACTTCAAAAAGCAGCAGAACGTTTGAAATGTTTGTTTAAAAAAATCAGCTGAACAATACCAGATTAATTGGCATTTGTGGCGATTGTTTTTTTTGGGATTCATTAAATATTTTGCTCCATCTCGAGCAGTTGATTCTCAGCTGGTCTGGCCGAACCCACCAGTTGAAAAGCACTGACCTTGAACGTTAAACATCAAGAATCTCACTTAAAGCCTCACTTGTTTGATCAAGCTGTCCTGAGAGGGGGCTCGCTCCTGCCCAGCTGAATGTATACAAATGGGAAAACGACAGTTGAGTAAAGGAAAAGTGCCAATAACACAAAGGACACCAGTATGTTCCTTCTCTCTGTATTCTACCAACAGCCCTTCATTACATGTATGAAGGTAGTGTTGGACGTAAAGCCAGTGCGATTGTCCGGGCTTTGGCGCTGTGATTTCCTGAGGGACCAGCGGCTTTGTCCATAAAGGACGTTTTTATCAAGGAGCACCTGACCTTTGAGAGTTGAGGAATCAGGTTCTTAAAGCCAGAGGTGTGTCCTCGGCTCAGAGAGAAAGGTCAAAAACATTATCCCGCAGGAAGGAACTCACACACATCCCCTTCAGTTTTTTTTTTATGTAATTTAGAAAACATACAAAAAATATAAAAAAGCAATATAGTCAAATTACTTTAAGAGCTCCAAAATATGAATATTTTCCAATAAGAGGGCTGGTTGGAGTGTGATATCAACAGGAGGCTAAAACAAGCTGTGCCCTCACTTTAGCAAAAGGCCAGCCAGTGAAGAGGCTGACATTTATCAGACATTTGAAACAGTAACAACAAAACATAACGGCATAATTGCCACTTTTTCTCCCCGCGCTCTGAAGCAGGCTTGACATCAGCGGTGATGCAGCACATTAAACAATCCAATTGATAATAAAAATGAAAAAAAGACACAATTGTTGGAAAACATTTGTTCTATGCGCAGATTGTATACACGTCGCCCCCCCCCCCCCCCCCCGTTTTTGTTTATTAGCTTGTTGCTGGAGCTTCCTATTGTGAAAGTGGCCGTTTTCAGACCGTGGCAACGTTGCAGCGATAAGCATTTAATGGGTTTAGAAACCCCTTCACTCGCTTCTCTGCCCCGAGGTGCCGTGTGACGTCTCAAATGGAAATCGACATGACAGCTGCACTCGCAAAAAAAAAAAAAAAAAAAAAAGCATTTCTTACTTCAGTCGTCACTATTTTTCTGTCTTCATGCAAAGTGTCAGCATATCGCCATTACGGAGACGTTGCTTGTGTTTGTTCCTATGGAGAGTGTAATTACCTCCGAGTGTTGGCGCCGCGCTCAGCTGAGATAACGGGAAAATGTTGCACACTTGTCGATTACAGCGACGCCACATGTATGAGGTTTTTTATTTTTTTATTTTTAAGTTGCAGCAACTGGAATGGTGACGCTGGTGTCCTCTTCTCTCCACATACGATAGACAACGTGGTTGTTGGTGTGTAGAAACGGTCGGCCGCGGGGGGGGGGGGGGCTCGCCTCTACTTATGTTGGTGACAATGTGATTGAGCAGTGGAGTTTTGTCAATGTAGAAACAGTCTGAGAGGTTGTGGTAGTGTTAAAAAAAAAGTGGGGCCCTACGTCATCGGCCGCTCATCAATCTGCTTTGTAAAACGTGATATTTTGTACTGAATATTTATATGACACAATTAAATCTCTTTAAAAATCAGCCCTCTCGGCTCTCTTTGTGTGATATTCTTCCCTTTTTAAACAACATGATTAAACACACGGAGGGGGTTAATGATTTGACAGCTTTATTTACTCGTGGAGTGGACTTCTTCGCTCTCTCCCGGCTATGTAACCATCATTTTCACTTTTATCTGGAAAAATTGTGATCGCAGCCACGGGGCGAGCAGGCAGGAAATTTACTCTCCTCAGATGTGTGTGTTTATTATCTGCGATAAATCTAAGTCGAGAAAAAAAAAAAAAACACACCTCTACAAGTGAGATAGTGGTATTCATATGACGGCTGTTGTTAAATAGCTGGATCCAGAGGCTACTGAGCTGAGGAAATTGTTAATTAGACAATCTATAATTAAGATCTGTCATACAGCCAATCGGATTTGGAGAGAGGTTTAAAAAAGAGAGGGGGAGGGGGGTGGGGGGGGATTGCATTTTGATTATTAGAGGATGAGTGGCAGATGTGAGGCAGCTGGTGACATCGTGGTGATTGAAAATAATTGGGTCTGGTTTTAAGAACTCTCACTAAGCAGGTGAGGATTAGAATAAAAGCAAAAATAAATCAGGCTTTTTTTGACATGATCCAAAACTTTATTTACAATATCAGCTTTGTTTTTTTGTTTATTTATGATCTCATACTCCATTTAAAAAAAAAAAAAAACATGTTTTTATTTTATCATCTTGCATGTGGCTGTAACATTGTGCGCGTCTCCTGCTGTTGTTTGGGATTTAAAGAGTTAATTCAATATTTAAAGACTCGGCAACAAACAAACATAAGGCCAACTTTGACAGTGCTGCAGTTACAAACAGTATAAAACATGACAGCATGTTGCGTTTTTGCTGATTCTGTTTGCCGTCTGTCACGCGGTCACTTCAAACACCTCGGTCTAAATCTCACTTTCGCTCTAAATTCTGAAAAAACAGTGATAGCAAACGAGCTAATCGTCACCTGTGTCCCTAAGGTGTTTTAAAGTGGAACTTCAGGGATCATAATTGCTAGATCTTCTAGCAGCGTCTGTATTTATCCGACTCTTGCTTCCTGATGATGTTGACACAGAGAGTCCTGATTGGCGAGAAGGTGCTGTCACTTCCTGCTCTCCTCCGTCTCGTCGGTCTCCTTCTCCTGCCGCTCTCGCTCGCGTCTCATCTCCTTCAGCTCCTGTCTGTATTTCCGCTCGATGAAGCGCTTCTGATGAGCCATCTGTGGGAAGTTATCTGGTATGGGAGAGAGAGGCAGAGTGGGGGGGGGAAGTCGACCAAGGAGAACAGATAGAGAGAGAGAGAGAGAGAGAGAGAGAGAGACAGAGAGAGACAGAGAGAGAGCGAGAGAGAGAGAGAGAGAGGGAGGGGTGTGAAGAAACAAGGTCAGCTTTCGACGGGCACGAGGAGATCAAAGTCAGGACTCACGTTGCACACACTAGAAGTTTCACAGGAAGTATCACGTCGTCACAGAACGTCGCCGGCAGTGTCGAGATGAAATTGCCCTCGTGTTGTTAATTCATTAATAATCATGAAGTAACAAGAAATTAGACAGGCCTTGTTTGGTTTCAGCACAATGACGATGGGATCTGATAACATAATTACGAGTGAACATTTTCTAAATGAGATCTGTAATAAGATTGTGTAGTGTGACAGCAGGAAGAAAAATAAATCACAAACAGATAGAAGCTGATGGAACGTAAACATATAGGCATGAGACTGAAGAAGAACTCATTGAACTGTTTCACCTGCAAACCTGCAGAGCTCAGAGCGAGGCGGAAAAACAAATCATCTTCTAGAAATGGAAAATACTAATAAGTGTCGTCAACAAGGGAAGAGATTTTAAAAAAGCATGACAGGAACATTGGCTTCATCAGCTCTTAGGTGAAGTTTTCAGACTCAAATGTTGAAAGTCTGATCAAATACCAAAGAGGCATGGAGGCATGGAGTGGCATAAAACACAATGGATCTGTGATGGAGTAAAAATAATCAACGTGGGAATGTGAAGAGTATACTTCAAGAAGAATAAAATATGAAATTTAAACTCAGAAATGTTGAAACATGGGTAGGAAGACCTGCCAGAAGAGCATGATTGACAGTTCAGCCTTTCCAAGAAGAAAAGCTCAATAAGAAAAACTAGAGGGACATAAAAACACAATGAATACTACATGTTGTACTCATTAAAAAAACATTCATACGTTTTACCTTAAAATGTTTTTTTTGTTTTATTTTTGTAATTCAGCTTCTTGTTCATTCATTCATTTTCCTTTTTATTTGTTCTCCTTTTTTTTTTTTTTTAATCGACTGTATTTATATGATTCTAAGGAAAATACCAGAAATTCACCTTAACTTCAAAAACAACAACACAGATAAGTATTTGATTGAACACAGGCACACGTTTTGTACGGCATCCCTGAAGTCCCAAAAAGGAAAAACAAACATTGTGCGCACAAGTTAGTTGTATTTTATGTTGTGTGCAACCTTTTTTTTTTTTTTTTTACTTTTTGGGACTTTGGGGTCTTCGTAGATTTCTGTACATACATTTGCAAAAAAAAAATATATAAAAAAATAAAATAAAATGGTTTTTTTTATTTTAAGTGTGCACCTGGTGGTCATTAGTGGTACTGCACGACAAACAACTTAAACTCTACATCCCCGTGAAATCAATTCCTCTCTAGATGTGATAACTTTCTAACAGCATTTCTTTCTGCTTGAGGATTTCTTTTGGATAACTACGGCCTCTCAGGAAGTTGTTAGTAGGGTTACATGTAGGACACTTGACCCCAGTGACCTTCCAGACGCTCTGTTTGTCATTTTCACAGTCAGAGCTCAGGTAATTTTCCATCAAGTGTTTACATTAGTGTCCCCTTCCCACAGCACTCTTCAGTTTCAAACAGCATGCCTGACAGGTGCCCGGTGGTTTGTCTCGACTCGTTGAGACGGGGGAAATTTGACAGAGCAGTTTTTCCGGTCGCTGACCATGACCATGCAAACCCAAACAAATTAAAATCAGGCTGTCAGTGGCTTTTTTCACATTGCTGAAGTCGGTGTGTGATAGAAAAAAAACTGAGAGGACAGAGAAATGTTTCCAATCCAGAGTTTTCATTCCAGCCTGTCAGTGAAGTGGTTTGTCATAAACAGTGAACTCTTTAAGTGTCTGAGGCTGAGCTGTTAGTCTTTATAACGGCGTCTCGGCTCAACACTCAAACATGCTGAGTCTGAATTTTGGAGGAGGGTTACACAAGGTTACAGGTAAGTGGGAACGCTGCCTTCCCGAGTTAATTTGACAGCGAACAAAATGTTTTCAAAAAGTCCAAAAGTGAAACAGCATTCACTCAAATGAAGCATAATGAAGATGTTAACAATGGCCACATTTTGTATGTATTTCAAGGTCTCAATGACTACAGAGCACAAACATTTCTCATGTTATTCTTTGCACTTATTAGTCATACAGACAGCAAAATATGTAAAAAGATGCCCAAGGTTGTAAAAACTCCTGGAGCAACCCTGTAAATAAAGTAACCCCAATCAATATTTGATCGAAGGTGTCAGTATCTTCCCGGGTAAAAAGCTCTGTCGGTTGTTTCTTCCGTGTCTGAGACTTTCTTTGCCTTCAGTCTTGCCTTAGGGAAGTGATGCTCTTGACTTTCCAAGAACATCTCAAAAACTGGCGGCTTATTTTTCTTTGGCTGCTTGTTTGGATCATTTTTCTTGCTCCTCACATTGGAAACATTTTGTACACAAAAGGTCTAAAAAACTGTTTGCCCAGTCTGTATATAAAACATCGACTAATTCTCCTAAAGCTGAGGGGGGTTTGCTCTTTGACCTCACAGGCTGTTTCATTTAAAATCCAATTCGACTTATTCCAGAGTCAAAACAACGGCGTCTAAACACTCAGAGTGTTGCTGTATCATGAGCAGATAGTGTGTCTTATCCAGTGATAATAAGGAGGGGGGAGGATTTAATTATTACTACTGTCCAGACAGAAGAGTCACAGCTGATAATACGACGCCTTAGGGTTTGAGCTAACTATTCAACTATGTGGTTTTGGATATCACTGCTGTCCCAATACTACAGACACATCCACAGTATGAGAAACACCAAAGAAGAAGTTAGACTGACTGTCACAAATCCAATGAATGATCAGCTATTCTGTTATAATGACCGGTTAATTGATCATTATGAGAAGTACATTTTTTTTTTAAGTCATTTATTTCCTTTGAAAAGCAAGACATTTCCATTTTGAGATGCATACATGTGACTGTCTTTATCATTGGAAGTTTTAGTGTGGTGGACAGAAGCATGTCGGCTTGAACTTCAAGAAGTTGTGAGCTTTTTTTTACCCCCACATTATTTCCTATCATTTTATAGACTTAACAGTTGTTTCCTGTAGTCTTGGCATAGGATACTATTCTTCAAGGAGAAATTTGGTGGGGGAGCGACACAAATGGCCTTGGAGTTTAGTCGGGCCGCCCCTTAAAAAGTCAACGAGTCGAATCATCAGCTGAAAGGACTCCAAGCTGAACTGCATTTTGTCAAGTCAGGTCAATAGTCAATCAAAAGTTAATCTCTGCACTTTTGTGTTTTTAAAAAATTTTTTTTTTATAGCTGGGTCATTGTACACAAGGCAAGGAAGGCCCAAAATCATTGCAGACTAACTTAAGCCCTTTTAATAGTACAATTCCACATCAGATTGGTATCAAGACGACAGGTTGTATTTCCTGTTTTCTTCACAATCGATAACACTAAAAGCAAATAAAATATAATCTGAAAGAAGCCACAGCTGTAAAATGTACACATAATAATTAAACACTCACAGGGAACACATTAGTACTATCAATACTTTAAAGGCTTTATATGTGATTTTTTTGATCCAGCAGATGTCGCCCTTGAGCACCAGCATGAAACCAAAACAACGCGCGCTGCATTGTTGTGTTAGCATGCTAATGCTAGCGATCTTTATTATGCTGGTATCCTCACACTGCATGTAAATTTACCTGAAATGAGCGT